TTTAACAAATTTGTATAAATGACTAAATGAATTGTAACGCAAGATGTATATGATCGAATAGCGTGATGAACAACAATTGTATTATAATTAGTCCGGTTGCTTTGGCGTTGGCAGCAATTAGTCTTTAGCGGTTGATGGTTGTGATGAAGTTGTTCTTACCGTAGTTTTATTGCCATGACACTTGTATTAAGATATATCGTCGTCTGTGTTTTGTCAGAGACAATGAAAGGGATGAAAACATGTGTTAAACAAGGTGTCACGGCAATAGAGCTCTACTGTTATTGTGCGTGCAGAAATCATATCAGTAAAACAATAGCAGGTGGACAAGTTGCGACATTCTCATTGTTGTTTTTATTAACACTTATATTTACCTTGAAGTTATAGCTCCTTTGATAAATATAAAATAATTAATTTAGTCGCGATAACTGCAATAGGAAACTCACAACAAATGACTTACGACGTATTAAGAATATGTTGTGCTAAAAATTGTAAGGAATACTTTTTAAATGTAATTATCAGTAACATCAAAACTCTTTCTTAAACAAAGCAGCTGGAACATTACCTTTTAAAAGAAATAGTAGGAGTAAGTCCAGCTCTATGATCATGTGCGTGCAGTGGTCACGAAACCACTTCACACAGATAATGAATGTGGGAGGTGTCAGTTGTGATAATATGAAGACACGTGGAGTTGTTCACACTTTACATACAGCTGTATGTTCACTGCAAAAGTTCCATTGTGTCGTCTGGTTATCGAGTTATTAATTTGACATTTACTTTTTGATACCTACACCGAGTTGTTTATTATTTCAATAACATTTTAATAAGCTCTCTCAGTCATAGTAAGATTGTTTCAATACAGTATTTCAAATGCTTTCAATATAACATACATTTCACTCTCTTAAATGAATGTATGAAAGAGGAAAATTCCGATTATTCCGATTTATCTCACGTATTAACTACCTGTCGCCGGAATATTATTGTAATTCGATAAACAGATTTTATACAAAAAAAAACAAACGAAGTTTAATATTTAATTGTGTTTTAAGCAATTGGTATTAATTAAAATGTCAATTAGTAATGGCTATAATGCTTTTTTGTCGCCATTGCGTAGTTAACCAATGACGCGAGCAGGGTTGCCGCGCCGCCGCCACGAGCGCTGACGTGACGAGTTCACCCACAACTTGACCTTAACGTAAGTCATCAAACATTTGCGTCATTAATCTTTTTGACATCCCTGATGAATGATACTAAGATACGTTACCTTTGATATGTCTTTTATGTATGTTGCCTTTATTAATGCGTAATATTTGGTAAATCGAAGGTTTATATTACTTAAAATCCTAATTAAGATCAATGACCCGAGTTGGTTTTGTTCTAATTAGGGGAATAATTCGGTAAGTTTGGTGAAGTGAGGAGGGGCTGGGCGGGGCGGGGAGGGGGGAGGGGTGTAGTTATTGCGATCGCTTCATATCGCAGCCATCACTAATTCATTTCGATGGTCCACTTTTACTTAGAAAGCTAAACCAATGCTTATTAATAACAAAAGTGGCTTTGAAAATATAGAATTATTGCAGTTTGTTAAATAAAAATCAAAACCTATAATCATAATTAGCAGTATTTCTATTCTTTCCAGTTAAAAATAGTCTTATAAGACACGAATTGATTTCTGTAGTTCCTTTTCCTTGTGCAATCCGTACGATACTATTTGCGACATGTAGGACAGGTCAATCGTATGACTTTGCAATAAATCCATGTCAAGTATACCGCGAGTCGCGACGACCTCACTGTATCTTGAGTCAGTGTTTTCGAGACGATTAAATGATGAACTTGACATCAAATAGTTTTGGCGCGTCTCGCCGCGGCCGGCTCGCCTCGCGCTGACATCTTTTAGGGAACGACATAACATGTTTCCCTATCGGACGCGTTTATGTCTTTATTATGCAAGTTGGTCGTAAACTTATAATACGTGTAAAATGAAGTAACTAGAAACAAGTTCAATACTTCTTTCATCTAACTTTCATCAACAATATTAATAATTTGTGTACAAATTATGTATGTACACTGTATTTTTGACTTCAAAAATTAAAGTTTTTAAATAATTTGACTTCTATAACAATCTATTCCGATTTGGAAAATAAAGATAATTTATATGTTTATCTAACTATGAACGAAAAATAAACGATAGTGTTATGAAGCAAAACGAATCAATTTTCTCGCGCACACAATAAACAATGCTAAGTCAAAACAGCAACGTCGCATTTTTTGGAATATTACGATGTTTGTGGAGGAGCGGAGCGGCAACACGCTAACACGTCTTGTTACACTTTAAATATACGATAAACATAATATTATCTAGATGTTCGATAACTTGTTATACAAAACAACTGCATTATAATCTGATCAGTGATTTACAAAGAGTTAAATTCGTTACAATAAAACCGCATGATTATTGCTTACAATTTTTTTTTTTATATCATAAGGTGGCAAACGAGCGAGCGTTCACCTGCAATCGCTGAAATAGCGAGGTGACCGTTACCCATAGACATACACATTTGCATTTGCGTTCTTGTATTTCTGCGTTCTGTAATTCATTTAGATTTTTCCCTTTTATCGATGCCTAGATTAATCCATATAATGGTCATGACAATTTGGTTAACTGGTAACAAAATTCGGAAATGTAGACCGGATATCCTAAACGGTCCATTACATAACTTATGTATGTCTGTGTGCGACCGCATGTGAGTTTCAGTCAGTTGTAGTGCAACAACTTTTGTGCAGCGATAATAGTTTGCGCACATAAATATAAAAAAAAACAATCCTTATTAATATTACTGTTTTAACGTAATCAGATTGTGTAATTTTAGCAATTAAATTAAAAAGTGTATAAAATAATAACAGCAAGACAGCAATATTTAAGAACGATCCTTCAATTAGTGTTTAAGCTACAGGTCCACGTGTTCGTACAGACGTAACTATCGACAATTTGCTGTAGTTATATAAAATACGATAAGCGAGCACTCAGGTGCCAAATGAAACGTTGCTATGGAATAAAGTTTGTCGTGATCGCACGCTCACCGCGTAATATACTTAATGTGAGCACACAACATACTGAGGTACATTACACGTGACCAACTATCCACGAGGCAGGGTCAAAAGTATTACAATTTGGAAACTGAAAAAAAAAGAACGAGGGATTTTAAATACATGTTCGTTCATAAACAAATGTGAAGGATCTTTGTACATCGAAACCTTTTAAATCATGAACCTTTTTCATCGAGCACAAGACAAAAGCCCGCTCGCCGCTGAACCAATTTAGTCAACTACAAACATATTGCTATGTCTCTGTTTATTATAAACTGAACATCAACACAATTAGATACGTGGTTTACAAAACAATCGCGTTGTGTCACAATACACAACAAATATTAATCTCAAATTAGGTCTAAATAGCAGGAACAAGAGAGAAAAGGGAATTGACGAGTGTCAATTGCTAATTGATACAAATGATTTCCTTAAGTCTAATTGTGTATGACGATTTGAATTGCAATGTAACATAGTTGTGTAACACACAAACTTTTGCTCACAGTATTTGCGAGTACGTTACAAATACTAACATGTGTCCGGCATAAATATCTATCGGTCGCGTCGCGTCGCGTCGCGCGCAAGGCTAAGCGCGTCTGTCAACACTGCTTGCCCCACTTTATCTCTGCTGATTTATGAGGATTGCACTGCACACGACAGCGGTCACCTACTTACTTAATACATACGAATGTCACACCTTTATGTTCCCCTTTGTCAAGTGTATCCGCCGTCGCTATATTGTGTAAAAAGGCTCTTACATTTTTTGTTTGTATAAGGCTTGGTAATACGTTCGATGCCAGTAGGCCATTCAGAAGTTATGCATCTAAGCTGTTTTTTTCCCGCCTTTTACTATATTGTTTTCTTTCCATAGGATTGTTAGCACAATGACGCCATGTTTTACTAATTTACAGTCACACAAAAAATTCTTCAAATATCTTTAACTATGAACATACTCATGTCGGCGGTTGCACGCGGTTGTGTCGCAAGGACGGATGTTTATTTAGCGCCATATCTCTATGAGACGGTGACATTGGTACAATACGGTTCAAATATGTGCAAGTTCAAGTAAAAAAATAGATAGCGTCAGCAAAACAGGCATTTTTTAATAATATTTGTACGGTTTTCGAGTTCAAAAATTATTATTTACGCTAATATTTATCTAGTCTTTTTAATGAAATGGCGACAGGTCACCGGTGTAACTTGTGATCCAAGAATGCCAATGAAACTTAAGGGACAGATCTACAAGTCCATCGTAAGACCTGTCGTATTGTACGGATCTGAATGTTGGGCCACCAAGGTTTCGGATGAAAGAAGATTGCATGTAGCTGAAATGCGTATGCTAAGATGGATGTGTGGTGTGACAAGGAAGGATAAAGTTAAAAATGTATATGTTAGAGGAAGTTTGAAAGTAACGCCAGTGATCGAATTGAGGAGTAAAAGATTAGTGTGGTTTGGACATGTTATGCGGAGGGATGATGATGACATAAGCAAAAAAGTAATGAGATTGTATGTGGATAGCTACAAAGGTAGAGGAAAACCAAAAATGTTTGGTATTTTTGAACAATGTAGTTGGTCATCAAAAATATCTTTATATATATAATTCTTCTGTGAGTGTGTATGTCACTGAACTTCTCTCACACGACTGGACCGATTTTGATGAAATTTTTTGTGTGTGTTCAAGGGGATCTGGGAATGGTTTAGATTTACAATTTTGTCCGCTGGACAATGTTTTTTTAATTAATTTTTAATTTATTAGTAGTTGTTGATTTTGGAATGTTTTACATTGGATCCGACAGACGGCGCTACCATCGCAGTGTCAAATTTTAAATAATATTCGAATTTTCAAATTATAGACGTGTAGACAGGACGTCTGTCGGTCCGCTAGTTTACTATAAATAAAAAAAATGCTTTTAAAACTTCGTTTATTGCAAAAACCTTAATATAATTTAACAATAATTCTACTATGCACAATATAAATACTCTATTTGTAAATGTATGTGTACAAACTCTGTTACAATATTATTATATTTAAAAGGTCACGAGGACGCGAGTAAATATACTAAAAATATTCTATCAACTTTCAAGGCATTATTATATCATATCACATCGTTACTTTCTATGTATTTTAATAAATAGGAAAATGTATAATACATATATTAACATGATTTTTAACAAGAAACATGTATATTGAGTTATTTATGGGAATTGTTGTTTTTATAAAACGTCCATTAATAATACATTGTAATTTAATAAATTTTCAAACTTGCCCTTGTTTTAATCAATGATTTATGTTTATGGCAGGTAATTTGTATAAAAACATACATTGTATAATACATTAGTTCACAACAATGTGTGAATACAATAAAAAAACTCGATTTATCATTATTAAAAAATAAATGTAATTAAAATGTATGAAATTGTGCAAGTTCCCATAAATTATGCTCAAAAACAATGATATTTTTTTTCAACAATAAGGCACATTAATTGACACTTTAAATATACAATTTTTAATAGTTTTCCTAATATTTCTTTGTTGTAAGTTGCTTTTACGATGCAAATAATTTCATCTTTATTTAAACACAAAATTGTATAAAAATTGTTTTTCTAATTAATAATTAATTTCTTCTATATAAATAAAATAAATAAAGTGCGAAGTATAATTTATTTACAAAAGAATGTTAACCATAGCAAGCGTTTGTAGTTTGAAACGTAGCAAATCAGTAATTATTAGTTTTATTTAAATAAAATATTATTATTATCTTTGAAAGTCCGACAACGACTAGGGAATGTGTTAGGTTAGGTTAGGTTAGGTTGGAACTTTTTATTATGTATATAATAATTTGTGTGAAACATATGTGCATAGTATATATTTATAAAACCGCCGGCGGCAGTATACTATCAGTGCGTTATCATTTCTATTAAATATTGAAATTACCTACACATATAAAAATGGCGTGATCCTTTCATGAAAACATATATTATTAAGTAGATAATCTTTTTTATATATTTACTAATTACATTATATTTTAAAGGCCCGCGATACATTCATAATCTTATATAGAGTGACTTAAAAACTTAGTTAATAGATAAATTATAGATTTTGATATAAAATTACATGATTTTATTTAATTTCCTTGATTTTATAATATTTTCGTTTTTTCCATCCATAGTTCACATTTAATGATAACACGTAAAATATATATGGACATTAAACCACATATTATATATTATCTTCACAAAACATACGATACAGTCATAATCAACATGATATGTTGTGATTAAAACGCACACAGGCGATTGCAAAGTATGAGACGTTTTTTGTAGTCGTCTGAGGTCGGAAACGCTATGCAATCTATATAAGTACAATAAAACGACAATACAGAGCTAGTAGCGATTTCAATGGCTATTAGTCGGTTTTTACACATGTTACAGTTTGACGAGGCGGGCGTGTCGGAGGCGCGCGGGAAGCGGGAACAATACCGCCGCAGCGCCGCCGCCAGACACCGCGCGCGGGAAAGCGACGTCACAAAAACGACAACTCTTTCGGAAACTGACAGCCGCGAACAATAGAAAGAAACTTGCCAACTTTACTCACACTTCGAAAACGACTCCATATGTCGAACGCTTTCCATCGCGCGAGAGATAATTGTCGATATGATAACCTCTCCGCGTTCGCGGCCCGGGGGAAATCGATTACCTCGCAATCGATCCGCGGGAAACCTCTCGGAGCGGCCGCCGACGACGCCACCCCGACCTGCGAGCTCGCAGAACGATGTCACGCGCACACCGGACACTTACAATTTTAACAACCTAATGTGTTACGTAACGAGTAGATCACACGATTAACTTAATACATCGTCCCGTGGCGCACTAGGCGGCGCCCGCCTCCTGCTTCTGCTGGATGATGGACTCCCACTGCGCGATGAGGCGCGTCGAGCTCGGCGCTAGGAACTCCTGGCCGGGCGCCAGCTCGCACAGTTCGGCCAACGACTTGGCCGGCTTGAGGCTACCCATCGAGTCGTGGCCGGAGCCGGTGCGCGGCGAGGGCGAGCGCGCCTCGTCGCCCAGCGCCGCATACAGCTCGCCGATGGACCTGGCGGCCTTCAGCCGGCCTGGTACCACGCCATACTCCTCCTCCGACTCCGAGCTCGTCTCGTTTTCGCTCAGCTCAATGTCGAACGGCTTCTGCCTCCTCCTCATCTTCTTCAGCTCGTGCTCCCTGTCCTTCATCTCCTGCAGTTCCTTCTGTATTTTCTCTTCAACGGGCACGTACCCCTTGCGGACGGGCTTTCCCTCGGGTGTCCGCGTGATGGCGGCGGGCGCTAGGGCGATAGGCGTGAGCGCTGCCGGCGAGAGTATCGGCTGGGGCGCCTGGCCCACCGGCGAGGTGGGCGACACCGGGGACGTTCCCACTGACAGCTTGCCCTTGCTGGCGATGAACCGCTGCATGATGCCCTTGGTCCCCGTCTGGGGGGTGAACCTGCGCGTGTAGCCGTTCGTATGGAGCAGCGTTTGCGCGGGCGGCGGCGAGGGTGCTATAGGGCCCAGCAGCTGCGAGGTGGAGACGGCGCGGCTCAGAGCCCGCTGTGGTTTGTCCGTGGCATCACCGTTCACGTGCCCGTTCTGCTTGGCTACGTCCACGGTGGACTCCGAGAGGAGCCTGTTCATTCTGAAGTGCCCCTCCTTGAACTCGCGCTCCCTCTCCGTCACCTCGATTATCTCCCTCTGAATCCTCGTGAGAGGATCTTCTTTCAGCGACGCCTGAAACGAATAAAAATTAAAATAAATTTCGTCCGGTTACTGGGTGACACTTCGAGTAAAATTGCATAGGTACTTTACGATACACTCGAGCGAGGATACCTCAGATCGCATCGCCGCAGAGAACGCGATAGTACCGAGTAAAGTATGTCTCGGTCACTCGATACTTTGATATACTTGTTTCTATTGACCTTATAAATAGATCGCGCAAAACCAGTCTATATACCCTACCAGTAAGGCCTTTTATGTTATGAAACACGTCTAGACTTTTTCAATACGAGCTCTCGTGACGCTACCGCGGCTCACCGGCCGCCAGTGTTTACGAGTTTAAATTTAAAGGTAATACCGTGAGTCATTTCGATTATTCACAAATTAAACAAATTCAACAGTTTCTGTGACAGATGTTTTAATGAAAACGTCGCGATCTCAGTAAATATAAAAACGTGCGCCGGCTCGCGACTCCGGTACGTAGGTATTTAGGTTTGAAAAGGTCGCCACGGCTGCATGACGTGATTTCAATCATTTATGCTGATATGTACGAAACACGTTTATGTACTGTTAGAATAACAGGCGATGCTGTTACCGTTCAACTTATCTCACCGAATTAACGTACTCCATCATGAACGACATCATTTTCTTCTTAAACGAATTTAGCGAGTCATACGTTCTACTTTGATTTATCATGAAAGAAATCTATGCTTTGTGGGCAAATTTTATTGCGTTCAATAGAGGATACCGATTTAGCAGTAATATAGTTTAGAGGTGGAGCAGTGAAGAACCGACTGGCGCTGGCAGCATTGCTGTTGCAGGTTTACTGGGTCACGTGGTTTTATTTCTTTATTTTGTATTACTAAATAATATAGAGAAATTAAAACATTAGTGAAACACTCAAAGTTAATTATTGATATTCGTATGCGAATTGTTTCACAGACACCATTTGAGATCTACGTATATTCATCATTCCTCACTGACATACTATTCATGTAAATTGAAATAACTGTTGTTGACTAGCACGATGTAGCAGAGATGTGGGTACGAGGACATTAATTTGTTACATTTCACTTGAATAAATAACCTTAACGAATTAAAATCGTTATAATCGACAATTATCATTGTGTCGTATGTGACACGATAAGACAATAGCCGTCATTCGCTGCAGGAACATTCGATCGCATAAATCGAAAGCCATCCAAGATAAATCGACTTTATCAGATGTATAACAGTACAGGTAATCTCGGCCGCGGTCGGCTGCCGGCTGCGACGTCTGGTAAAAAGCTATCCATTATAAAGGTCACAAATCCGCGTATGTTCGTGTCCGTGTGTCCATCGTACAGGAAAACTCGCGTCTAACGGCTGGCGGCTGGCGAGCAAAGCGCAGTCGGCCACCGTCCGATGCGACTACTGCGAGAGTATCCCATACCGGTGCCGTCGACCTACGAACTCGCGAATGCGATCGCGGCCGATCCTAAGCTTAACTGGAGCGCGGGCGCATTCCGATATTTCTGTTTAGATACTCACTTCACTCATGGTGGATAGTGACACACTTGAACGATATCAACAGTGGAAACACAGTGGAACTTCACGTATCACACATCACGAGCACGACACTTGACACGGCTGCGATGGTCTGCGGCGCGAATGCGACTGTCGGCGGCGGAGCGGGACGTGCGTCGCATCGGCCGGCCGCGGGCTAACGGCCTCTCGTATCACCTCTCGACTAATTGGCGCGAGAGTGAGAGGCTCCATGTTACCTGTAGAAAAGAGAAAGGATTACAACACCTGGTGCCGCTTTACAGACGCTACCGTGCTGTTACCGACCGACGGCCGCGCGCTGTGCGTTTGAAATTCGAGCGCGGATTTACGCGCCGTTGCTTTTGGGAGGGAGCCGACAGTTGGACAGGATGGGGTTG